TATAGATGGGGGTATTCGTATACAAATACAAATATCCCCACACAGCTGGACTTAATAAGGGGCTGGCCCCTGAGACTGGCCCGTCCGCTCATGTGTCCGCCGGCGGCACCAGTCTCACTTATCCTTCCAATTGCTCCCGGAGCTCCACTCTCTTCCTGTTCAGCTAGCAACTCAGCAGCCATGCCCTCCTACTGCCTGGAGTGGCCAGACAAGCAGGAAGAGAGTGCAGCTCCAGAAGTGATTGGAAGAATGAGTGAGGACACCAGTGCCGGTGAATGCGTGAGTGGATAGGCCGGCCACAGGGTCTGGCCTCTCATTAAGCCCAGCTGTGCAGGGACATACATCCACCCCATCTCTAATCCATACCATCCTTCTTCTGAGACACTACACTGTCTTACAGGTGTAAGGAGTTCCCAAATCACAAATGTTTCAGATTTGATTGGAACAATTATGTTGATACTGTTTCCACTTTCATATGACCCATATATGGTAAAATAGTTGCATGAAGACTCAACAACGTGTTATTATAAGATGATGGGAGTAAACAAAGATTTGTATGATCATATTGTTCAAACAGCACCTTCAATTTATACAGTGGTGCCTCGTCTTACGAATGTCCCTAGTTGCAAAATTTTCAAGATACAAAAAGCTCCGTTTGCAAAATATTGCTTCGACTTGCGGATGGAGCTTCGAGTTATGAAAGAAAAAACATGGAGGAGGTGGAGAAAGCGCAAATGTGAACTTTCTGTTAACTGTTGGCCAGCGAAGAGGCTGCTTGTCTGCTACTTTGCTCGTCCCAGAGGTTAGAGAGTGGATAGGGAGAGAGTCTTCAGACTGCCTGGTACTGTACTGCCCGGTACTGTACGGACTGTATTTTGGGGGGATTTTTAAATTGATTTCTGGATTTTTGGCTTTTTTTAAAACAGAGAGACTGCTGTTCTGGGTGAGTACATACTATTTACTATAAGGTACAGAGTTTTTTGCAGCTTGGTGGGGGTAGGGCTAGGTGGGGGGTTATGTTTCTGCGCTCTGATGGGTCTTGCAGTGTGGATTTATTTATTTATTTATTTGATTTGTACCCCGCCTATCTGGACCAATGGACCACTCTAGGCGGCTTCCAACATAAAATTTAAACAATAAACACAGCAAATACATAAAATACAAAACAGCTATAATAAAAATAAAAATAGGAAAAATAAGAAGAAGAAAATCAAGAGTTGGCTGGAGGGAAGGCCTGAGTGAAGAACCATGTTTTTAGTTGGGTTTTGAAGATGCCCAGTGTAGGGGCTGCGCAAATCTCTGGAGGGAGATTGTTCCAAAGGCGAGGAGCCACC